ATGCGGGTTGAGTGAACGCTAACTGGTGACAATTAAAAGTCACTGGTCTCAAGTCCACCAGATCATATTTGCAGCAGGCAAATCCTCATGTGGTAAGTCTAATAGCCAACATGGATATTGGGTCTCTTCGCAGTCTCTGGAACATATCGATGTTCGCCAACATATTCCGGCTGGAAGCGAACACAATGAAACTCGCAAAGAGCTCCGAGCAAAACTCCGTGCTAGCCTGAAGAAAGACCGCGAATCCTGGTGGTCTCTTCGTGCATCAGAGATGGAAATGGCCCCTGCCATGGTAACCATCGTAAGTTATTTCATCTCATACGGGAAACGGACAGCAGAAGACCTGGTGTTGGTGAAACCATACGTGACGAGAGTGAACAACCTATCCACTATTTGTCAAAACGTTTTAAACAATGGGCTGAGCCTTGTGAAAAGCAATTTAACCGGCCGGAATTGTTAGATTTCTCACCGGCCACTGATCGCCCTGATCCTGAGTTCTCCGTCTGGATCCACCCTCTCATTCAGAAGTCGAACGTGAGATCGGACTGTTGAAGTTAAATAAGGCCGCGGGACCAGATGATCTTCATCCAGCTCTCTTCGAATTCGGGGACCCTGCTCTTGTTGACGATTTACACGAATTACTAGTGAAACTGTGGGACCAGGAAACTGTCCCAGCCGACTGGAGCCGCTCCGTTATTGTTCCGATCTTCAAAGGAGGCTCGCGTTCGGAATGCAGCAACCAGAGAGCAATCACCTTGATCTCCATCGTCTCCAAATTGCATACATCCGTAATCCTTCACAGGCTGACTGGCGGTCCTGAAAGCCAGATTCATGAGAAGCAAACTGGATTTCGTCGGGGTCGTGGCTGCATCAACCACATCTTCACTTTGCGTCAATTGTTGGAGCACCGTCACACATATTGGCGGCCCAACGTTGTCGTGTTCCTAGATATCAAAGGTGCATTAGATTCGGTTGATCGATGTGCCCTTTGGGACTGTCTACTCAGGAAAGATGTGCCCGAGAAATATGTAGATATTATCCACGCACTATATGCGAGTAGCACGGGCAGAGTGAGGGATTACGGCAAGCTGTCGCCGCGCCTCAGTAGCTCCAGCGGTGTGAGACAAGGATACCCGTTGTCAACTTTCCTCTTTAACTTCGCTATTGGCGAAGTCATGGAGATATCATTCACAGGATACGACTTAGGTGTGGAGCTACTCCCAAGAGAGCGACTTCTTGACTTGGAGTATGCAGACGACATTGCCCTCATCTGTGACAGCTCACAAACGTGCCAAGCTGCACTGGACAGATTAGCACTGGCTGTCAGCCACTTCGGGCTTTGCTTCGCACCATCGAAATGCAAAGCTTTCCTCCATGATTGGTCTGGACCGCCTCCTACGCTGATCCATGGTGGTGATCAGCTAGAAGTCGCTTAGAAATTCAACTACCTAGAAAGTTGTATCAGCGCCCGTGGGATTGAAGATGAGATCCCGAATCGTATAGCAAAAGCTCGAAATGCTTTTGCTAACCTTCGCCACTTATGGCGCCGGTGCGACGTCACTCTTGCCCTGAAGGGTAGAGTGTACAATACAGCAGCACGTTCGACCCTAAGTTACGGTTGTGAAACCTGGCTCTTTAGATCAGCGGACATAAAGAGGCTAGTTACGTTCGACCATCGGTGGCTTCGCAGTTTGGCTCACATCTGGTGAGAACCGCGTGAGAAACTAGCATGTCCGACGCTTTGTTTAAGGCACAGAAAAAGGAAGTGAACCGCTCAGCACCGTTATTTCACGCAACAAGCTCCGATGGCTTGGCCACGGGTAACGCATGTCAACCCACCGGCTCCCGCGACGTGTGTTGTTTGCGCGCCGGAGGTGTGGATGGAAGAAGAGGAGGGGTGGCCATTTAGCCTCCTCCAACCACGATCTCATTTCGTAGCATAATCTAATTTTACATCATAATTTTGCTTGTTGCCTAGTAGCCGGCTGCTAGCTTTCCGGAGCGATGCCCATCCGTTGCGGTTAGCTCAGCTGGCATGTAACTACTGCATTTATTTTGTTTTTTCTTTTATATATTGCGGCACAGTAGCTGACGCGTTTTACACCTCTAGCTAACATGGATAATGATGATGATGATGAAGTGGGTAGCAGGGGTATTTATGGGGTTTTGTTGAGTATTCCCGCAACTATACGCAAGCAGACAGCCACTACAAATCCAGAAAAGCACTAGACGACCGTTTTGTTCAATTAGGACGTCAGTAGCGCGCAGTCACCGAATGTTCCCGGATTCGAACCCACGAGCTGGCTCTTACTAACCGGCGACTTATGCCACTGAGTGATGAATGACAGCAACGGACCGCCATGTCTGACATCCATCTCCATAGTATGGACTTGCAGAGGACAGCGTTAGCCTTTGGAGCAAGACTGTTTGCAAGCCGCCACTAATCGAGGCGGCAAGTATGCTGCTAAGGCGATTACTGATGGTTAATGAGTAGCAGAGGAAAAAAGGCACCAGCAGTACGCCAGTACGCAGCGCCGACGCTTCGCTGCCACGCAACCACAACCAGTTGTATGTGGGCTAAGGATACTGCGACTGTCGCTCTGTCTCTACGTAGGCTCGAATCCGCGATGTCAGATAACAAGGCAAGCCGGTTATCTGCAGGCTACGGGTCGGCATTAGTGAATAGTTAGGGGAATTATTGGGTTCTGTTGGCAAAGGGAGTCGTTGCTCTGGGGTCAGCCGCGTCCTCTGCAAATTGATAACACGCATGCCGGTGGAGGATGAGCCGCGCTATATCACAGTTAGATGTCAGTCATTGCAGTCCGCGGCCGTCACCTATGGCTCAATGGCATAAGTCGCTGGTTAGTAAGAGCCAGCTCGTGGGTTCGAACCCGGTAGAATTGGGCGGGTGCGCGCTACTGACGAGTCCCAATAGGACGAAACGGTCGTCTAGTGCTTTCCTGAATGTGTGGTGGCTGTCTGCCTGAGTCTAGCAGCGACGAATCTTCAACAAAACTTGAAGACCGAGCAAACACAACCTTTCAGTCCGAGGGGAACTCTCCTCTGATGACACAGATGTCACATACTAGTAGCGACCAATCTCCAATCGGTTGAGTCACAGTCCAGTGAACCATAGAAATTCAAAACTTAAAGCTTTACACTACCCTTACTGATACTCCCTATAAGCAAGCATACGTGAATCTCATGTGGAGTATATAGGGACTGATACATTCTCTACCCACTGCAGTTTTCCTAGATCAAATGTTCTACTCGATGATAAAGTAGGGTACACAAAGCACGAGTCGATAAGATCCGTTTTGGATTTGATCCATGTGCATTGTACAAGCTATTGAAAAGACGGGTGCAGATGTCTCTTGCTTAGAAATTCTATTCGTTTCCTCAAATTGCAACCAAATGACACGGGCCAGATCAGAAACTCCAACACACTCGAACAGAGGGTGAAAGTGATCGTGATGGGTCAGCCCACTTAAAAAAGTGGTCACTCCCAGCGATAGAATCACGAAAGAGATCGCAACGCATGTCGGTAAAGTTTGTTTGATCTCTCAGGGTTTTAGCAGCTGGCTTGCCGAACAACCTCCTCGTGGTGCCAGCTGGGTGGTTCGGGATTTTCCCGTTCCAGCAAATGGTTCGGCGGCAGTGTTCCAGGACGTGGTGGGTTTTCGCCTGGCAAGTGTTCTCCCTATAAAAAGCCACATATGTCCGTTTAACAACACTGTGACGTGGCGGATGTGACTCGCCACTAAATAAAGTCACTGCCCCTTGATTCATTCTGGCGAAGCATTGTATTCCAGCAACCTTATGCTGTAATTCTGGGGAGTATTGGGCCCCTGTTTGACAAAGGAACAAACGAAAGGCGTATGAACTGAGCAATCAGTCACCGGCTCCCAATGGGCGTGATTCCCTGAATTCGCTCCGCTGCCTTGCGGGCAGGCTATTCAGCCAAAGGCTCGGGGTGGTGTCCCCTAAGTCAACACCCTACTTCGGCTTGGGCAACCGGGTAGTATCTCGCCCTCTGAGGAAACCATGGACATTGTTGTGTTGTGTTTTATGTTACCGTTTATGTACCTTCGTTTGAATCCCATGGTTTCTGATGGCATTATGTCTGTTGGCAGACGTTTGCAAATATATACAGAGTTTTAGCCACTTATGTGGATAGTGGCTTAGCAATCAATGATCAAGTGTCACCCTTAGAAGAAAATCAGTGTACAGCTGTATGAAATACAGTAGTGAACAAGAGGCGAGCGACTGATTACTGGTCTTGTCCGTCTGTGCCTCGCTCTTGCGTGGTCTGATGGGACCACCGAGTGAGTAAGATTGATGCTTGACAACTGAACTTCTGCTAACGCACAGTATCCAGGAGTGAAGTTAGATTGTCAGCACTGGCTCGCGCAATGCCTTCGAATGCTGATCGATTGCCCGATCCGACTAGCCCTGATTCGCAGAACTGCACCCAATCGAGTGAACTCCAGAGGCTGTCAGTCAATGGCGCAACAGAGTGGTATGGAAAAATAACTGATGCTAGACGTCCTCCAATATGCATGCAGTATGGTAAAAGAGTTGGGAACTCAATGGCACCCTTGCATTGCTACCGAACTCTCAAGACAACTGGGCAAATGTTAGTTCACTGGCTAAAGTGAGGTGAAGTGAACAGCTGCTTTGGGGTAGGGCGAAGCGGAATGTCTACACAGAAACAAGACGAGTGTTTCACTGATGTGTAACAATTGAAAGCGGAGCTGCGTAAGATGTCACCGGCGAAGAGACGAATGGGGAGGATCTCGTGCAAGTGCTACCCTTGGGTTCCACACAAAGAGTCCATCAGCTCATTTTATCATCCCTGGATGTGAGATGGTTACTTGTTTACATGGTAAGATCAACATATTGGCAGAAAAATATGGAGGATACATTGGTGAATACTGTTTTTTTAGTTAGTATAAGTGGGGACAAGCCAAGTTTTGTAGAAGAACCAGAAAGGCACTCACTGAGGAGGATGGCGACCGAACAGTGATAATGCGGGGACCGGATGTGTGGCTGTCCGTGGATGGTGAGGCGATGGGTTCCACGCGGTCCGGCAACCTCGAACGGTTTTCGTGCAGGAAGAGAGATGGTTCAGGAGTAGCAGAGAGTTGGGAGTTTCTACTGTGACTAGAGATAGCCGACATAGTAAGCACTGAGGCAGGAGTGACCAAACTCGGAAAGAACGAAGGATCACAGTTCACTTTTAAAGGTTCACGTACGGGGGGATTGTACAAGGATTTCCCACTGGTGGAATTCTTTTTGCGCAGAGGACGCTGTAGTGAGGAGAGATTTTTGTACATAAATGGAATGCGAACGAAAAAGGTGTCAGTGAAGAGGACTTCGAACGCTGGATTGACGGTTTTATGATATCAATAATACTGAACGAGAACTAACCTTAAACTGAACTTATTCGCGGAGACAGACGGGTGGGAGCAATAGGGTGGAAAGTAAATTAACGAGGATATCGGGAGAATGATTTAAGCCAATAAAAATAGCGAATGAAACATCGTGACTACAGTTGACTGAAAAGGACAATAAACGCCTAAGGGTCCGTGAATTGAGCCGTTGGTGCAAGCATTATGTTGTGGGGTCGCGCAGTACTGTAATGGTGGTCGACGCTGTTTGGTGGTCTAGCGGCATCAGTCGCCAATAAAAATCGGAAAGGAGAAGCATCAAACTACGATAGGTCCCCGGTGGGGATGAAATAACCCTTATGCGCTTATGTATTCCATAAAATGTATGCTAGCAGTGTGAACTGTGATGAATCTTCTTAGACTGTTAAACAAGACTAAGGTGTCCGAAAACAGCAGTGATGGCGCATGTGATTCACGGACCACAAATAAAGTAAAACGAGAAGGACAGTGAGTCATCACATCTAACCACAACCAGATAACCATCACATATTCAGGAAAAGTACCGGGTAGCAGATTTATTTTATCGGGACTAATCCATGGTGCTCATTCGAGCTACCAGATGACAAGCCAAAAAAACGCGAAGCCGCTTGTTTGAGATAGCGACTAAAACCAACGGGGGATATAGGGGTGTGTTGTGGATATGAAGCGGCTGCTTGACGAGAGTATCTGGGGGCGAATGTCAGTTGACAGCGATTTCACTCCCTCCCTAGGCCACTACCCATCGAATCAGAGAAAGGAAAAGTTAGAACGGGGCGTTAAGGTTGGCTGAAACACAGTTTACCACTTGTCAGGAATTGTAGTCACGTGCTCAGACAGCTTTTAGTGCCACGCCCCAGGTTGTTTATGTCAAACTATTTGATGTATGCGGCTCCGTGGAGAAAAGGGATTATATTCAGCACGGTACCACGATAAATACACATTTTCAAAGTTGAATGTTTATCATGGAATCGTACTACTTTGATAAAAAATGGTTACATGAATTCGCTTAATAAAACAGGAGCTTCATAACGATACATACCAAACTGCCATCCGAGTGAACCGAGTTTACAGTGATGGCAGCGGTGACCTCAGGTAGAGAGTGTTTCGATGCAGCGATTGGATGACTTTGCCAAACCATGTCGGCACCAAGGGATCCAAACGAACGAGTGGGGAACATGTTGTAGGCTGAACAGAAGAGATGAGCAGAGACAATGAAAGAATAGAGGGGAAATGGGGGAGGGAGGGCGTATAGGATCAATTTCATCGCAGAACTTCAGTGAATGTGATGGAATGGTAACGCATGCTTAACAGTCAATTACGGAATCCTAAATACGTATTGTGGGAGCAAGTAAAAACTTGAATCGGTACAACTCCAACAAGTTTATTTGTTTATCCATGCCTCCTTTAGATACCCTCTCCAATCACGATCTCATATCTAATACGTGATATAATACTTAACTCATATTATTCGCTTATGAATTTTTGTACTGTGTTCTTTTTGTATTGCGGCACATTAGCTGAGGTGTGTTTATCACCCTTAGCTAATATGCATTGATGATGATGAGCGAAATATGACCAAAAACGTTAAGAAATAGTAAACTATGGCTTATCAATACGCTGATCATTTTTTACGTCCTCACGTTATTTCGTTAAAAAGTCGTTTAACTCACAGTACTTTAGGACGCAGAATTGTGAGATGTCTGTGGATAATTTGAGAAATGCACATCCAATGATCGTTTGAACTGCTGCACTGAGTTCGCTTCCGATATATGTTCCGGCAAACCGTTTCAGACATTTACCATTCTCCGTTCAAAGCACAGAGGATGAGGAACTTGCTTCATATCTGGAACCACAAGCTTGTGTTGGTATCCGCGTATGCTGCAAGGCGTTCGCAAGTGTAACAGTGGCCTTCGCATGCAGAAGTTGCTTACGTGTAGAATCCGGTAGGTCATTATGAGGTCGACAAGTAACCCACCATATCCCAGGGTGTACAGTCCCAGCCTCTCGCACCTTCCTCGCACGACAAGCCTCGCAAACCGGGGATGAGCCTAGTAGCGACGTGTTGGACCCGTTCAACCCTCTGCGCTCCACTGTGAGTGGTCAGGCAATAGGCGGGTGTACCGTACTCTTGCACTGGTCTGATGATGGAGGGGAAGAGGCGAGTGGCAACCTCTTCAGACCAGATGCAGAAACTGGGTTTGAGTGCCCAGAGCATGCGCAGTTCGTTACGATATAGCTTGTTAGTGTTGTTAACGGACTTCAAGTTGCAACATGAGAGTACTCCTAGGTCCTTTACCGAAGGTGTGGGATGTAGCAGTTGGCTGTTGGGATTGTAGCTTCCGACGTCACCACGCCCATGAATACCGACTTGGATAGGTTGCCCGGGAGACGGGACTTGTGCAGACCACATGGAAAGACGGATAGAGTCTTGTTAAAGTAAGCCGTAGTCGTTGGATGTGATTATCACTCTCCACATCTTCAGATCGTCAGCAACCAGGGTACATGGTGACCGAAGAAGCTCATCATCATCATCATTACACGTTAGCTGGAGGTGGAAAACACCTCAGCTATTGTGCCGCAATACAAAAGACAAGAAAAGAAAAACAAACAGTGGCACGCCCGCTGAGTCCCCAGTAACGGATGGACATCGTTCCGGAGAGCTAACAGCTCGCTATCGTGTCGTAAAAAGTCATCTTATGCCTAACGAGTGAGATCGTGATTAGAGGGGATGCTAAACAGGAGGGTGATGGACAAATGAACTCACAACACAAACGTCATTGGGGCCGGCCCCAAGCCATATCAGCAAGTGTGTCCAATCAAACGTGTTCACTGTCCTTAGGACCCCAGCCAGGCAGTCGGGATGCACCAACCGACGCCAACTTCGAAGTGAGGGTTTCCATTTCTCTCGACCAAGTCATCACATGGCCTCCCCTCCTCCTCTTCCAACCGCACCCACAACGCGCAAACAATACACGTCGCGGGAGTCGGTGTGCTGGCATGCGCAACACGTGGCTCAGCCATCGGAGCCTGGTGCGTGATATAATGGTGCTGAGCGGTTCACTCGCTCTTTCTGCACCAAATACACGACGTCGAACAGGCTCATTGCTCACGCGGTGCTCCCACCAGACATGAGCTAAGCTGCGAAGGCAGCGATGATCGAATATGACGAGCCTCTTTATGTCTGTCGACCTGATGCGCTAGGTTTCATAGCCATATAGGAGAGTTGAACGGACGGCTGCGTTGTAAACTCTGCCCTTCAGGGCGAGAGTAATGTCGCGTCTGCGCCACAGATGCCGGAGATTGGCAAAAGCACCTTGAGCTTTTGCTATACGGTTCGTAACCTCGTTTTCAATCCCAAGGGTGCTACTATAGCTGCCCAGGTACTTGCATTCTTGAACGACTTCTAGCTGATCACCACAAAGCGTTAGCGTAGGGGCGGGTCCCTGCCAATCTTGGAGAAGTACTTTGCATTTCGATGGAGCAAAGCATAGCCCAAAACGATTGACAGCCAGTGCTAATCGATCCAGTGTTGTTTGGCATATTTGGGAGCTGTCATAGATTAGGGCAATATCTTCCACATACTCCAAGTCAATAAGTTGTTCATCAGGAAGTAGCTCCACACCTTCTAAGTCGTGTCCAGCGAACGCTGTTTCCATGACTTCATCAATAGCGAAGTTGAAGAGGAAAGGTGACAGCGGGCATCCTTGTCTCACACCGCTGGTGATACTGAAGGGTGGCGACAGTTTGCCATAAACCTTCACCCTGCCCGAACTATGCGCATACAGCGCTTTGATAATATTAACATATTTATCAGGCCCACCTTCTTCAGCAGACAGTCCCAAAGGGCACATCGATCGACTGAGTCGAAGGCACCTTTTATGTCAAAAAACACGACAACGGTGGGTCGCCAATAAACACGGCGGTGCACCAACACTTGACGCAAGGGGAAGATGTGGTCGATGCAGCCCCGACCTCGACGAAATCCGGCTTGCTCTTCACGAATCTGGCCTTCACGAGTGCCAGTCAGTCTGTGGAGAATGACAGAGGCAAGCAATGTAGAGGCAATAGAAATCAGACTGATCCCTCTATGACTGCCGCATTGCAAACGGGTTTCCCTTGAAAATTGGGAGAATGACGGAGCGGTTCCAGTCTGTCGGGACTGTCTCCTGCTACCAAAGTTTTACTAGCAACTCGTGTAAATCATCTACTAGAGCAGGTGCCCGAATTTGAAGAAGGCTAGGGGAATTCTATCTGCCCCTGCGGTCTTATGCAATTTCAACAGCCTGATCTCACGTTCCACTTCTGCGCGTGAGGGCGGATCCAAGGAGACGGTCCAGGGCGAAGGGCGCTCAATGCCCGAAGAAGAAAGCGATAACTCAGGTTGGTTAAATTGCCTTACAAAGTGTTCAGCCCAACGCTCCAAGCGTTTTGACAGGCTGTGGGTCGGCTGCCCACTATCGTCGCGTATGGTTTCGCTAACACTAGGTGTCCTGCTGTTTGTTTCCCGTATCAGACGGAATACCTTACGATGATTACCAACGGCAGCTGCTGTTTCCATCTCAGAGGCACGATGAGACCACCACCTTTTGCGGCCCTTCGTCACGCCAGCACGTAGTTTTGCCCTGAGATTTTTGCGAGCCTCATTGTATTCGCTTCCAGCCGGAATACGTCGGCGAGCATCCGTAAGTTCCGGAGACTGTGTAGAGAGCCAATGTCCGGCTTGGCAATTTGCTTTGCCACATGAAGACATGCCTGATAACAGCAACGCTTGACGAATATGCGACCAGTGATCTTCAACGGTGTTTAGTGAGCGTTTACTCAGCCCAGATATCAGCGCAATTTGGTACACATTCACAACATCTGGCTTCGCCAGCTGGCTAGTGTCAATCCGTTTACATCGACGTTGCGGACGTCCACCGAAACGCACCAGGAGGTCGGCACAGACAAGTGCGTGGTCAGAGTCCACACTCATGCTCCAAATCAAGCGACAGCTTTGGACAAAGCCTCTCCAGCGGTAACTGATCGCGATATGATCGATTTGCGTCCATGGCTGGCCCGAGGCTGGTGGCCGCCAAGTCACGCTTCTGCGGATGCTGTGTCGAAAGTTAGTACTCGCGAGAAAGAGGCGAGCATCTTCACACAACTGTAGCAATCGCTCACCATTATCATTACGGGAGCCTACACCATGTTGGCCGCCCAGATGAAACTCATTAGAGGACAATTTTCCGACTTGGGCGTTTAGATCGCCAGCCAACACCACAGTATTCGTGCTTCTTCTGTAACGAAGGAGCTCGTGAAGTTGCTGATAGAAATCATCTTTGACCGAATCAGTGCTACAGTTTGTAGGGGCGTAGGCCGAAATGACAAACAGGCACCGTTTGTCCCCGCGCGACTTTGTAGCACGGAACGAACCACCTAATCTAACGGCGCATATTTTACTGTTTACTGGGGTCCAATCAATCAGGCAGTTTCAGCCCGGGGACTCAAAACAATGCTGACGCCAACTTGACCGGCATTTGAAGCTACATCATCGCCAGACAGGCGCAATGAGAATGCGCCGCCAGTGTCGCATGTGGGGGATCTCAGGGTAAGCACGGAGCTCGAACCTTGCAGGCGGGTTTCTGATAAACAGCAAATATCGATCGATAGGGTCACTAGTGTGCGGTCAAGTGCTGCATGTTGGCCAATCTGCAGCAAAGTGCGCACGTTGAGGCATGCCAGTCTTAGCGAGACACGAGGACTCCAAAGGGAAACGGATGAACTGACGTCATCCGCTTGGTTGAACATGGGCTTGTCGACTGGATTGGAGCGAGGCTCTGCGATTGTGTGTGATTTGAAATTAGAAGACAAGCGACTATTGAAGTAAGCTGGGGGAGGGCCAAGAATTGGGGGATTGAAAATGGGGGGATATAAGTAAAGTTGGAGCGGGACGATAAGGATGAAGAAGTGCAAGAAGGGGTATAAGAAGACGGGAAGGCCTGAGCAGTAGCATCCATACCCCTATCCACCCTGCTCGATGCAGCAGATAGGGCGCCGTTGATTATCCTCTGCGACGGCCAGAGCATCAAGAAATTGTCATAGGTAGGTCGTTGATATAAATCAGGAACAATGTAAGCCCCAACACCGTGGTCTGGGGGGCGTACGCCACTGGCCGAAGGATAACAGTCGGTCAGGTGGCTATCCAGCTGTACGCTCCACTTCGTCTAACGAGAAGGTCAAGGATCCACCAGAGAGAGTGATGCACCAAGACCACACACTCTTAACTTGGGAAGGAGGACCCCATAGTTCACCTTGTCGAACGCTTTGCTGAAATCGATGTAGATCACGTCGACAAACTTACCCGGGTTCATGGCTTGCAATCATTTATGCCTCGTCAAGAGCAGGTTGGTGATGCATAGACGACCTGGCATGAACCCGTGCTGTGTGGGCGTCAGATCTTTTGACCGGAACAGCTGTAGCAAACGCTTCTTCTTTGCAAATTTCGCTAAAGTAGGTGTCAAACGAATTGGCCTGTGGTTGTCTAATTTGCTTGGCTTCCGAAATCGGCTTTACCAATGAGCATTTTCAACCAATAGGCAAGGTAGCTTCGGACATAGACCTGGTGAACAGGTCAGTTACGGCAATGGAGATGATGATCAATAAGGACTTGAGAATAAGGGGGTGGAGCCCGTCAGGCACAGAAGACTTGATGCTGTCAAGAGTGTCGAGCGCGGTAAAATGGTGCACCGCCAAGGCGGACGCACGCTCAGTGCTGGAGGTTAGGGGTTGTTCGTTCGCGCCCTCTATCACTGGTAGGTTATTTGTCGGACTCAGCCGCCGGTTCACGTACACAAAGATTCACTTCGGGGTGGTTTTTGCTGCGGCTGCAAGTGGCTCTTCGAAATGCCTGCGCTTGCTGCTTTTCACACCGTGGCAGATATTCCGCTGCTTTTTATACACAGTCGTCGTCCGAGCCAAAGATAAGGAATTTGTCTCAGCCTGCTAGGCTGCCGAGCCAGCCTACTATATTCCTTGTCGAACCAACGTGGGCTTGACCGGTTCAACTTCCCGACACTTGAGAGGCATAAATTGGTTACACAAAGAATTTATTCCCTTCTTTATAACTGACCAGTAAGCAGATGAGGATCGCGGCGGAAACCAATCCACTTGGCTCGCGGATCGAGTCAGACCGTCGAAAACTGTCTTCCAATAGTTGTAGTCTGACTGCAGTGCATGGAAATGTTGCAGCGGCAGCTCCATGATAGCAATACGAACTGAGTGCTCGCTTGCTACCAGAGGCTCTAAGATGTCAATGTCATACACAGGTTCTTCATAGCTGGTTAACATAAAGTCTAAGCATGATGGAGTTGAGCGCAGTGTTATGCGCGCCGGTTGGCAGATGTGTTGTGATTTGTTTCGGTTTCACTATAACCGTTGATGAGTTCAACTTCAAGGCCAACGTGTTCTAGGACAATGGAAATCGCCTATGAGTAGAAAATGACGGTGGCTCATGTAGTCTCGGAGACGGGTTAACCAAGTAAAACAACGACTCAAAGGACTGCGATAGAATGCACCCACGAGCAGCTCTCCGCGCCTGAGAAAGATCGAGCACCACAACTGCTCACATAGGCCATCTCCGTTTCGGTGGACGCTCACGAGTCTCCCACACAGAGAAGACCGGAGGTAGAGCGAGACGCCACCGTGGGCAATAGATAGCCTATCACAGAGGAAGCACGAGTAACGACTGAGTTTAACTTCCTGGTTGAGTACCTCATCGTTCAACCACGTCTCTCCGAGTCCAATAACATCTGGTCGCTCGAAAGCAATGAAACGACACAGCTCATCGAGCTTGTTCATAGAACTGTACAGGTTAGTAAAAGCTACACCCAAACTGTGATAAGAGCTACCGGGTGTGCCTGATGAGTGAGCAACCGATTTGTCCAAATTTGCGTTGTAATAGCCCAAAAATTTACAATACGTAGGTTTATTTCTCCCTCACCAGTTCGCCACTTTGGCTCGGTGGTGGCATGTTTGAGGCGCTCCCGATCAGCTGGATTGTTATACGGACGAGTATGCATCCTAGCGCCTCTCAAACTGTGCAGCCGACAGTATTAGCTTCGGGCTGACCTCCTCGGCACAAGTTACTCGCATAGCGCGGTCTTTCTCAGCAGTGTTTCGGCCGAGGGGCGAATGACTTGCTTCACTTTCACTCCGTCCTCATCCACATTGAGGAGCCTATCAACCAGGCTCTGTAGAAACTTTATGTTATACTCATAGGGTACCTGATGACTTGGATTGTTGGATTCAGGCGCGTGATAAACAAGCATCCGATTTGATCGCCTCTTGTAAATCAAATGTGAATCCTATGGGAGAAGAGTGGGCTGAAGCACTTTGCTTGATCTGGCCTGCTGTTGGTCAGTAGCAGGAAACTACTCTTCATTTCGCGCCTTTTTCTGTCGTTGCGTTTCCCATGGCTCCTCATGCACTGGACATTCATCTACGTCATTAGAGCTAGCAGAGCTCAAAATCAGTGGATCATTAGCCTCAGTTGGTGTCGCGCCTCCGAAAACATTAGGTTGGTGAGGTAATGAGTTGTCAGATGGAGTTGAACGGGAGGAAGGCTGAGTTGAACCTTGGATGGACTTTAGGCCAGTTTGGGGGGTGGTAAGTCTAGAACTGCTCACGGTTAAACGTTTTTGGTCGCAATCTGCATCGATAGACGTTATACATTGCTCTGGCTGTCTTAGACTGCGACATTCGTTGCAGAAAATTTGGATGAAATCATGTTGAATGGAACGCAAAAGACCATAGGAATCGGTAGGTACTCCAACATGAATTATGAAATCTAGCACAACAATCAGAACAGGTAGGGACATTTGCCGTGTTTCCAACAATTCCCAAGCAGGAATCACAAGGTGATTTCTTCGAGATTTTGAAAAAGAATGAAAAAGTGACGTAAAATGACAAAGTAGTATTTGCAAAACCGAACTATGAAATCTATTGAAAGATACCACACAAAATACAATTCCGAAATTTCAGATTCAGAAATGAAATTGATTGATTCCGAAATTTTCATAAAACAATTCCAATATGCCGGTAAATCCACAAGAGTATCCTAACAACGCCGCCGCTAGCTCACCTGGACGAATTTCAGTAGTAGTTAAGAATGCGCTGGACAAGAGATCCATAGCCCAGAAACTCAAGGGATAAATCGGGATAAAGAAATGTTCAAAAATGGGGACACCAATTATATGTGCTAAAGTAATGAAAGAATTTATGAAGACCCCACGTCGCATCAACCGAAGGTTAGAAATTTCACAAACTATACCACTAGACGTCTGGGGAAATGATCAAAGGTGATAGCCAACACATAGACCTATCCGTGTGACAGAATGACAAAGTGAGCCATCAGACAAAAGGCACCGTGCATCAGAAACCAAGGAGTGCATACCAACATGATTGTTAGTGAAAAATGCATTTTTGCAATGACAAATGGTAAGCCTCTGTCCCGGCAGGAATGTGGAACCACAAAGGTCCATCGGAAGATATCCGTCATACACGTTGCATGGGAGGCTATCTACTCATGACGGTCTGAAATAGGGGGAATCACGAGGAACCGGTCTGCTTACTCTAAGAGTAGTAGTGCTATTGTGCAGAACGACAATTCCTCGTCCCAATGCATTCTATAATCACTGAGTATAGCAGGTCCAAAATTAACAAATAGCACACATGAAGAGTTGCGAAATAACGAGCTCAATCAACACTTACTCGGTGTGGGTGGGCGATACACTTTGCTCCTTCGCAGCTGCTCCAAGCACTCTTGCAACGATTCAATCACAGTGTCGTCATCGTAACGAAAATCTTTCACCAGTTCGTCTTGGAGAAAGCACGTGATCTGCGACTGATCCATTGTCAACAGCTGTTCTGTGGAGGCATGGAAGTGAGCATATATCATACGGCAGGAACACACGAGTGTCGAGTGCGGCGAGGAGCCACTGTGGTCATGGATGGTCAAGGAGAGCTGTGTGTGTGAGTAAAAGCTGGTGATTTCAAGTGTGTAAAAGGAGACGCAAAAGGATGTGCAGGAGTCTCATACCTAGTCGTTGGTGTCCACCTATAGACTGAAAGCACTGGTCAAGAAGCGATTAATCAAACGGCTAATGAAGAACTATGACGAAAGTAAACGCATCTGAAAGAACAGGTGCATGCAGCATATAACAAAAATCGCTAGAAACTGAGGGAAATGTGAAAAAGAACACAGGAACCCATACGCTGTAAAAACTGTCACAGTTCGATTTATCGGGGAATTCCCTTCGCAGTGAGGCAGGACCTTACCGTGGTGTGATGATTTGCGTGACACAGAGATCTATTGAGCTATGCTGGGTGGTGCTTTTTTGCGCCTTCAGAACCACTCATACTAGATTGGTCAAAGGTTACAGGCCAGACAAAGCCTCCTGAGCATCCTAACTGTGGGTTGGAATGAGGGTAGCGCCTTATTCCTTAAAAATTACTCCTTGTAGTCCACTGCCAAACCCGCTGCCTTGTAGTCAGGTTTTTGAACCAAGGGCTTTGCTTGAGAACCCTAATCGCTCGCCTATCAAGTCTTGGGCAACCTGAGGGTATACTGCTCACGCAATACTATGAAACTTACATTAAACAAGTCCATGATACTCTGGCCATCACAAGCATAATAAACGGAGCTCTATCTACAGCCTCGACCAGGGTGCATAGGGGTTTGGAAGCTACCACTCAAGACTTCCGTCTTCTTATTCCCCCTCCTACGCCTCTTCAGCTCCATCGTCTCATTCTAACTTCACTATTATCCCCCCGTTTTCAACCCACAAATTCTTGGCCCTCCCCAACCTTGCTTTGATAAGCGTTAATCTTCTAGTTTCATCTAAAATGCAAACGCGGAGCGTCCATCCCGCCCTGCCGACAAGCCCATGCCAAACCAAGCAGTCCACACCAGTTCACCAACTTCTACTTGGAGCCTCGATCCTCCTTCGGATTGGCATGCCTCAATGTACGCACACTGTTACCGATCGGTCAACAGGCAGCACTTGCCCGAAATTTAGAGACCCTCTCAATTGATATCTGCTGCTTATCAGAGACCCGCTTGCAAGACTCGAGCTCAGTACTCACTTTGCGATCCCCTTCAGGTGACACTAGCAGAACTTTCTCATTGCGCCTATCCGGTGACGATGCAGCTTCAAGCACCGGTCAAGCCGGTGTTGGTATAACCCTGAGTCCGCGGGCTAAAGCTGCTCTAGTTGATTGGATTCCAATCAGTAGCAAAATGTGTGCGGTCCGATTGCCTGGCTCGTTCAAAGCTTCGAAGTCGCGTGTGACTAACAGGTGCCTATTCGTCATCGCTGCCTACGCGCCCACAAACTAGCGACTGCTTAAAAAACTTCTCCCGCCAACAAAAGAAGCTCGGACACTGTAGTGTTGCCAGGGGATCTGAACGATCAAGTTAACTAAGTATACAAGGATGAACCGAATCTGGGTGGTCAACACGGTGTAGGCTCCCGTAATGATAACGATGAGCGGTTACTTCACTGGTGTGAAGATCCCCGCTTATTTCATGGGAGCACTAATTTCCGACACAGCACCCGCCGGAGGGTGACTTGGCGTCCACCATTCTCGAACCAACCTTGGACGCAAATCGATCACATTGAGATAAGTTACCGCATCCAGAACTGCATCCAGAACTGTCGCTCGATTTGAAACATGCACTTGTATGTGCTGACATGCGGATGCGCTTTGGCGGATCCCAACAACGACGTTGTGAGCGCAGTGACACCAGCCAACGGGGGAGGCCAGCTGTTCTGAATGCGTATCGAAGTACGCTGACATGCGGCTTGAGTAAGCGCTCACTTTAGACAATTAAAAGTCACTGGTCCCATGTTCACCAGACCATATTTGCAGCAGGCAAATCCTCATGTGGTAAGTCTAATAGACAACATAGACATTGGGTCTCTTCGTGGTCTCTAGAACTTATCGATGCTTGTCGGCACATTGCGGCTGAAAGCGAACACAATGAGACTCGTAAAAACCTCCGGGCAAGACTCCGTGCTAGCCTGAAGAGAGACCGCGAACACTGGTGGTCTCATCGTGCATCAGGGATGGAAATGGCTGCTGCCCTTGGTAACCATCCTAAGTTATTTCATCTCATACGGGAAAGGGGCAGCAGAAGACCTCGTGTTAGTGAAACCATACGTGACGAGAGTGGACAGCCTATCCACAATTTGTCAAAACGTTTTGAACAATGGGCTGAGTATTTTGAAAAGCAATTTAATCGGCCGGAATTGTTAGATCGCTCACCGGCCACTGGTCGCCTTGATCCTGGGTTGTCCGTCTGGATCCACCGTCTCATTCAGACGTCGAACGTGAGAGCGGACTGTTGAAGTTGAATAAGGCCGCGGGACCAGATGATCTTCATCCAGCTCTCTTCGAATTGGGGGACCCTGCTCTTGTTGACGATTTACACGAATTACTAGTGAAACTGTGGGAGCAGGAAACTGTCCCAGCCGACTAAGACCGCTCCGTTAGTGTTCCCACCTTCAAAGGAGGTTCGCGTTCGGAATGCAGCAACCACAGAGTAATCAGCTTGATCTCCATCACCTCCAAATTGCATACCTCCGTAGTCCTTCACAGACTGACTGGCGGTCCTGAAAGCCAGATTCATGAGAAGCAAACCGGGTTTAATCGGGGTCGTGGCTGCATCAACCACATCTTCACTTTGCGTCAATTGTTGGAGCACCGTCACACATACTGGCGGCCCAACGTTGTCGTGTTCCTAGACATCAAAGGTGCCGGTTGATCGATGTGCCCTTTGGGACTGTCTACTCAGGAAAGGTGTGCCCGAGAAATATGTAAATATTATCCACACACTATATGCGAGTAGCACGGGCAGAGTGAGGGATTACGGCAAGCTGTCGCGGCCCTTCAGTAGCTCCAGCGGTGTGAGACAAGGATACCCATTGTCACCTTTCCTCTTCAACTTCTCTATTGACGAAGTCATGGAAATAGCATTCACGGGACACGACTTAGAAGGTGTGGATCTGCACCCAGGAGAACGACTTCTTGACTTGGAGTATGCAGACGACATTGCCCTCATCTGTGACAGCTCACAAATGTGTCAAGCTGCACTGGCTGCCTGCTGCTTTGGGCTTTGCTTCGCACCATCGAAATGCAAAGGGTTCCTCCAAGATTGGTCTGAACCGCCTCCTACGCTGATCATTAGTGGGGATCAGCTAGAAGTCGCTTAGATATTGAACTACCTGAGAATTTGTATCAGCGCTTTTAGGATCGAAGATGAGATCACAAACCGTATAGCAAAAGCTCGAAATGCTTTTGCTTGCCTTCGCCACCTATGGCACCGGCGCGACATCACTCTCCCTCTGAAGGGTAGAGTGTGCAATGCAGCTGTACATTCGACCCTAAGTTACGGTTGTGAAACCTGGCCCCTTAGATCAGCGGACATAAAGAAGCTAGTTACGTTCGACCACCGGTGCCTTCGCAGTTTGGCTCAAATCTGGTGGGAACCGAGTGAGAAAATAGCGTGTCCGACGCAGACAAAGGAAATGAACCGCTCAGCACTGTCATTTCACGCACCAGGCTCCGATGGCTTGGCCACGTGTTACGCATGTCAACCCACCGGCTGCCGCGACGTGCGTTGTTTTCTCACCGGGGGTGTGGATGGAAGAAGAGGAGGGGTGGCCAAGCGATGACTTGGTCCCGAGGAATGAAGGCCCTCACTTCTAAGCTGGCCTCGGTAGGAGCTTCACGGCTCCATGGTTGGGACCCAAAAGGCGATGAACACGTTTGGCTGGGTACACTTGCTGAAATGGCTAGGAGCCGACCTCAATGGCGTTCGTGCTGTGAGTTTCTTTGTCCCTCCTCATCTAACCACGATCTTATCTCTTAGCATAATACAAATTTTGCTTAATAAAATTTTGCACAGGATATTAACCGTACGGCAGCTTTCTGGAACGAGAACCATTCGTTAATGGTAACTGAGGTGGCATGCGTCTGCTGCATTGTTTTGCTTTTATATATTGCGGTACAGTAGCTGAGGTGTTTCCTACCTCTAGCTAACGTGTATAATGATGATGATGATCGAGGAATTCAGTAGGGCCACTCGTTATGTTACATGGATGCGCGCGGGAAAACCAGATACGTCTAATCCGTAATAGGTCTGGAATAGTAGACAACAAACCAACCCAACATACAAAATTACTGGTTTGTAGGAAAATAGTTCATAAAAAGGGGTTCTCGATACAGCAAGTTGAAAGCAACATACGAGTTTCTTCAACAGTGACCTGCAGACTTGTAGTTCATGGCATCTCAAATAAGGTAAGAAAAGGAACAGTGACGCAGAAGCCAGTTGGCCCATGCAGAAGCTGTGAACGAGTAGGTTAGAATTCCCATCTTAATTTCTCAAAGGAATATAAACCATTGGCAGCGGCGGGTGGAGCGGTAACACTACAATCAAAGTTTGCAGAGATTATGTCAGAAGCAAAGGCAAAGCTTTCTGGTAAATTGCAAAACACTGCAATAACCACTACCGCATGAATTGGCGAGAGAGCACAAAATATGAAGACAGTGTTAGTCGGTCAAATGCGATAATTCAATAGATAGTGTACACATTCTACATATCGATGCGTGCAGAGATGCAGGGCCTTTAATCGGTGTGTGGCAGCGGCGAGTTGTCAGACAGAAAAAGCGAATGGAATGCAACGGTACCAACCAGACCTGCACAATGATCGGCTTGGCAGAGCGAGGTGACTGCGCTACGTGCCAGGTAGCAACTTATGACTAATACGGATACTATAACTATAACGGGTCAACGAGGTTTAGACTTTCAAACAAATATGCATGTCGGTAATGCTCACAAAACAATGAGACAAAGAGGATTAATGCCTGTAGAAGGGCGTGCATCATGAGCTAGATAAGTAAGGCAAGGAAAGTAGCTATTTTCTGCCCCTTGATGTAAAGTGGAGGTAGGGTAGGACTGGAAAACAAGATTAACGATCAGCTGATGAGAGAACGTGGAATCTAGGAGAAGAAAGAGACGTTTGATGAATGCTGGAACATATGAGCGAGATTGATGCTTCAAATTTCACCACAATTCTTGTCTCCTGACGAGTACAACATAATGAATGGCAAGGTTGTCAAACGCCGACAAACGCGTGACTGTACCGGTTTTTGTAGGAGCAGTCCTGTTGAAAACTAACCTTGGGATATCGTAAGGAGGGACTTCAGCAAACGTGCTAAAGCATAGTTCATGAGGAATACCTCGTGATTTACCAATTTGTCACGAAACCTGGGGATAAACGCACCCTTTTAGGCACTCTATTCCTGCTCAAGTATGATAATGTGACGCTTTGCAGGTTCAAATGTGACGCGTAGAGGGAATGAGTATGAGGAGAGCCCACTGATCGGTGAGCACATGTTGCTCGAACAGCGGAAGATGACAGGATCATCCGTAATTCGTAGCAAGTTGGCTGAACAGATAGATCAATTACAGTCCATAAACAAGTAAAGCCAAAGAAAAGGATAGATGGAGGACCAATAGCTGTAAGATTCAATGGAACCCACAACACATACACCAGTGGTTCTCAACTTTTTTGAGGTTGTTACTCACAAAGCGGGTTTACTAAGAACAATTACCCTACAAATATTTTAGTTTAGAAAGCTAATCACCTGTCAACTATTGCACGTTTTGCTTTAAACTACGTAAAATGATTATCATTTCTAGTTACTTTTGATCACACAAAAAAGAAAACACCTATTTTTGAGCTACCTTTAAAAATAATCTCGAAGTGATGTACGGTATTGAGACAGTTGTTGTTGTTGCTTAGTTCTAACAATTTCTGTGTATTTGGTACGGTTTCGGCGAATGCACATCGTAGGAGTCGTGTCCCAGCTTCATTCGATCCCTTATTTTGGTGTGTGATCAAACATGAACAGATATCAGCGGATTCTCATTTGTTTCAAACACCTCTTCCAAGTCCGTCCTGGATGACCGCTTCCTACCACCATTACTCTGTATCGATATATCGTGGATACTAATAGCTTGTTTTATCCCTTCTAGGTTGTACCCTACGCCTGCTTCTTTACCACGTCGACTGACTTCTGCTCCCACCGTAGTATTCCATCAACTCTGCAATTGGACCTGCTGAACGACTGTCTGACTCAAAAGAACAACGGTCGACAAACGGGCAGATAGGGGCACTCTCTATCTGCGCTGCTTTGCAGGTTTGTATACGCACTCTAGGTAGTGAAATCTAGTACCGAAAATTGCCTAGTTCACTGAACAGTAATTAACGGGCAGTCACTGTTGCCAGTTAATAGTGAGTAGGCATTTAGTTACATGTTTTGATACAGATGATTTTGTTATCAATTTCGTTTGGCGACAGACTGATGACCCAATTCTCATAATTATATTTACCCCCGGTAAAATCCTATTTTACCCGTTTGGGGGTAACTACCCTCAGGTTGAGAACCACTGACATAGAGCAACTGGTGTAAACAACTAAGCTGAGTAAGGCCGAGAGCGTAGAAATGAATGTGCGGCAACACACCGGATCCATCTGAACTATGCAAACAATACGCGCAGAACACGTGGTACTGTCAAATACACACGTAGATTGGGTGCAGCAGCAGCAGCAAGAAATGGGGCCATGGAAACAATGAGAGCATACTTTTGTGCATCTTCAGGATGTTGAATGCCATTCCAATCAGAATTTTTTCACCTTCAAGCAAATATATGTCCCACAGACGAAGGACAAGAGAAACCGGTAGCTGGAATGAGAGGAAACGGAAACATAATCCACCATCATCAGAGATAGTATTAGGAAGTAGGCAGGGTGCTCAAGGGAAGTAAACAAAACCAGAGAATCCCTTAAATAATCCACACTAAATCGAAGGAGTGTGGCATCGTGCTCCAATTGCCTGGACGGAGAGATGTACGCAGTAAGTCAGTAACAATGGTAACGGACGGTCAAACAATACAATGTCTACCCAGATGATGTCATCTGACTCAGAGTAATGTGAAAGGTGGTTAACGGGACATCGAAAAGCGCGTAGAGAATAGCCGAAAACAGCGGGATAACTAAATGGGCATGAATGACAAGTGAACTTATTAGTAGCTCGATTAGTCGGGGAATAATCATCAGGAGTGATGTCTTCTGTTGAGCACGGCAAAAAACAGCGAATCAAATGCATAGATTGAAATCGATCCATCTAAGCATCATGTGAGCATACAGAAAGGAGGAGAAAATGTACCCGGTTGAGGAAACACTGCATAAACCACTTCAGAGCGTATGTGGAAGTAGGCAAGTCTTGCGTCTTAAAATGCTTGCTAATAGCGGGTAGTAGTCGTTCCAAGACTTGCTCGTGTTGCTCGAACAACCGATACAAACCGGGAAAGTCACGTGAGTACAGCCCGTGCATTCCGTGCTTCCGACTTCCCATCAGCTGACACAGAGCCCAAAAAACATCCTCTTCTTCCACGATGTAGGTGAGAAATAGACCAACCAATTCGCTCATACCCTACAGGAATGAAACAAGCGGGGAAAGTGATTTATTACCTTACAGACTAACCGGCTGGATAAAGGCAAGTCACTGAGAAAAGCGAGACGTTTCAGAGGTACCATAAAATAGCATAAGCTACACTGCAGTTAAATGGGGATGGAACTGCAAGCATGTGATTGTGCTATCAGATGCATAAAAGAATCAAAATATGGAGTGGGAACAAAGTGGCTGGATATGCAATGACAAAGTGCATATGACACTCGGACAAAGTGCGCCTGCAGAGCGACGGGGTGAAACGTCAAGAAAACAAGGGGAAATATTGAAACGCAGGATGAGTGCGAGTAACAGAGCAGGCAAATAGCGGTGGCCGAATACCCATTGTGCTGTTGTTGAATGATTATGTACTGATCAAAAGGGAAAATAAACGAATGTATATATGCTATGAAGGACATCCAAAACCGAATCTGTTGCGTGTGTCACCCACTCCGAATAGTGCTCCCTGAAATCGGTTTCCTCCTTAACCGGACAGCACATCACCGGCTCTGCCTTTCACGTAATTCTAGGCGATAGCGCCAGCATAGAGAGACACCAAGATTGCGACGTATCAGAAATGAGTCAGAAGTAAGCGAGTGCGCGAAGAATATTCTTTTCGATAATTCTCATCAGGCGAGTACAATTATGAAGCAAAATGTTTGGAGAGAATAAAGCCCGTAGAGGCCTGTACAGAGAGCAATCAACTCATTAACTAGGCAATATGAAAACTAAATCAATGGTTTGATCAATCGGATTGTCGCATTAGGAAGCAGGTGATCAAGGAAGGTCAAGTTCAAGGCCAAGGCAATTTCAGAGCCTGTAGCAGTGTGCGCTGTTTGCACAGCTCTGGTTTTAGAACTTTGATAGCAATAGCTTCAGAAATGCTCAATAAAAGTTTCTTCAGCTGTTTTGGGTATCGTTTAGGGATGGTATAAACGACCCGAAACGACTGGTTTATCTGGACTTGGTGTCCAGTGTCGACCAAGTGTTGTAATACCGAACTGTTGATGGATTTTACCGTGCCATTTCGTAGTGACGCAGGACAATGCTCAGCGATTCTTTTGGACAAACACCTGGTCGTATGTCCAAGATACCTAGCACCACAGGTGCAGGTGAACTGGTATAAGACAAACGATTCGGACCGAACAGGGAGTTTATCCTTTAAGCGCTGAAGAATCAATGGTCTTGTTTCGGCAAGTAGTTTTAGGTTGGCGGCTGGAAATGTCTTGGTCACTGCGGTCGAGATTTTTCTATTCAACAGTTCGAACGCGACGTCTTCAGCGCTTAAAGGATAAACTCCCTGTTCGGTCCGAATCGTTTGTCTTATACCAGTTCACCTGCACCTGTGGTGCTAGGTATCTTGGACATACGACCAGGTGTTTGTCCAAAAGAATGGCTGAGCATTGTCCTGCGTCACTACGAAATGGCACGGTAAAATCCATCAACAGTTCGGTATTACAACACTTGGTCGACACTGGACACCAAGTCCAGATAAACCAGTCGTTTCGGGTCGTTTATACCATCCCTAAACGATACCCAAAACAGCTGAAGAAACTTTTATTGAGCATTTCTGAAGCTATTGCTATCAAAGTTCTAAAACCAGAGCTGTGCAAACAGCGCACACTGCTACAGGCTCTGAAATTGCCTTGGCCTTGAACTTGACCTTCCTTGATCACCTGCTTCCTAATGCGACAATCCGATTGATCAAACCATTGATTTAGTTTTCATATTGCCTAGTTAATGAGTTGATTGCTCTCTGTACAGGCCTCTACGGGCTTTATTCTCTCCAAACGTTTTGCTTCATAATTGTACTCGCCTGATGAGAATTATCGAAAAGAATATTCTTCGCGCACTCGCTTACTTCTGTATCAGAAATGGTGGGAGAAATAAAATGTAAGCAGTGTGAAAACGGCTAAAAGCGACTGCGAACAGAAATGATTCCAGTAAACAAGGAATAACCATAGCACCACGCAGTGAAAGGGGTTCATCAAAAAGCCGATCGCTTGCCACGTAGAAGACGGATTCGTAAAGAATTTGGAGCCTAGTATTAATGTAGAGGATTCAAGTCACGACCAGCAACTGGGTATCCCACAAAAAGTCACGTGTTCGTTGACACATGTGGTTAAATGAAATCCACAGTAGTAGTTGAGGAGATGGTAAACGAACACTGAGAAGTCGCACGGGAGGCTTTATTAGGCGGTGTATGCCGTTCTCTTGGTCCAGCGCTTCGGGAACAGCCACACCAACATATAGGCATCCTGACTGAATTGGTGGCTGAGCTGCGTTGATGACTCGGGTATCCTTCTCCTTCCTGTAGCGTTAGCGATTTTTAATATTGGAAGGACGTAAAGCAAGTTGGTTGGTTCACTCGAGCAACCGTCGTTGGACGGAACTGGTTGACAGAAGGAAACTTGAAGCCAAGCATTGTACAACGGAAACTAGTTATGCCCTAAGAAGAGCCTAAATCCGACAACATGGCCCCAATAAGAAGTGGTTTCAACTAGTTCAGAAGACCAGTGATAGAACCGAGAAGGCTTTATAAGGGGTGACATGTGAATTCACAACGATAGATGCCCGAAGATGTGATATGCGAACATGTGACAAAATCAAATGCCGAAGCAACTGACAATGAAAAGGTTGTATATCGAGAATTAAGCACCGAGCAGTGGATAAAAAATGACTTCGAAACACGAAGAAAAAGTGATAAAGAGATTCATTAAAATATTGTAAACGCCATCGGACCATCAAACTATTTTACTATGTGGTGCAAGTGGCCAGAACACAAGCAAGGTAGGCGTCTCAAAGGCGACGGCACATACTAGCCGTTCAGTTGTTGGCTCAGTACCTAATTTCTGGTGCTGATTTTCTGTGCACGAAATGAGAACATTTGTTCTGCTGAAAATCAGCACTGTCCTTTCTCGTTCTGCCTGCCTCCTTCAACCTAGTGACGTAGCCCACCCAGGCAAATCCCCGTGCCACATATAGTTGAATATATATCACAGCAATTGTGGAAACTGGTGTGGGGAGCAAAGGACCGATATGCCACAATCTCCATGGAACCATTTGACTATGAGTGTTACTGTTATCCGAAGGTAAACCCACATAAGCGCCACAACAGCGTCGGCTAGATATTAGTCTTTCACATTCTTAAACCAAACTTCTCTTGGTGCGTCAACAATACTAAGCGTTCATATCGAGTAGCGTTTAATTCGCCTACTTCAACAGCTGCTCTGCGCACCATTCTCTTGACTCTCGTTTCTTTGTACTCTGTTCGCGGCCGAATTCATGGGGACGAGAAAACGTCATCGCCCATGCGGTCGGACGAACAGTTTACGCACCTGCATTGTAATCCGGAGGTCTCCGGTACGAATCCGCATAGGCGCGAGCGACGTCGCGGCATACCCAGCCCACGCGCAACCGGTGGTGGTCGCGTGGTAGCGAGGCGTCGGTAGTGTGCCGGCGTACTGCTGTTGTCTTCCTGTCTTGTCATCATCCCCGCGCACTGCACATCTTGGTGGTATCCCTAAAGAGTTAAACGACCTGCAATTAGAGGTCGGAAAGCCAAGTTCGGAAAGCAGAACAGATGAACACACCGATGAAATAAAAGACACTGAGCAATCAAAAGTGAGGTCAGCCAGTGTGCAGGCAATAAAAGCGGAAAATACTCTCAATGGTTATCCGGTAGGTGCCCTAAACCGTAATTAGCCGAGCTGCATACAGCTAAGTCGACCAGGGGAGGAATAAATATCCTAATTAGCCTCTACGATGAAAGTTCAAGCAGTACAAACTACGGCATCTCGTGAGTGTCTGTTCCACATCACCACCGACAGGTACGCAGTAATGATCCAACGGAAACTGCGCATCTTCCTTCGCAAGCTGTGCTAAAACTATTTGGATCAATATATATCAAAGCCTGACGTTTCAGATATAAGCGAAGAACCGCCGGTGATTCCACTTAATACAATGTTCACAAAATGAATGACGAAATAGGAAGTAGACGGTGCGTTTGTCCGCGATTGCACAAGATGGTAACCATTGCGGCGCTTGCGAACCTACCACGTCTATAACTGGGAGCAAAGATAGTTGAATGAGTGGAAGGTGGCGAAAGAAACACCAAGACAGGAATTAATTGGAAGCTGTTGTCACCCGATTATCCCAAAGATATTGTATGGTTTTCACAGCGTGGATTGCACAAGCTGCTGACATCCAGAAGTCATGGGGGCGGAACCCGGCAAGGGTCCGTTGGGAGGCGCACCACTGACGAGACCCAGAAGGTCGAAACGCCGACGTCTGGTGCGTTTCCAGACTAGCCTAAGCCTGTTGATTGAGAGTGGCAATAAGGACTTAGCTGAACTGTAAGGGAAATCGGATAAAGGCACGAAGACCAGATTTAGATGTGGGGAGGTGGACCTTAAAATAATCATGAGATCAAATAGTTAATAGTGCGGGGGCGTGCCAGAATGGCTGAGTCCTTGCGATCAGATGCAGCGTGAGCACCAAAGCTAACATGGACAACTGATGTTTGGGTTGGCTTGTACAACGTGTCTGAAATGAGGAGAAAGCTTCTGAAAGTACAAGCATAGTGTAAAGCAATGGGCAGTGGAACCGTTCAAAGTTGCAGAGCTTTAAGGTGGGTAGCACGTTAAAGGGTAATCCGAAAGAATATGCTTTAATATTTATAAGCAGCCGTCTAGAGAATACACATAGGGACATCAAGAACCTTGGAAATTAGAGGCATCAGGTAAAATTGTTACAGAAAAGAGAGTGATCATTTTCGTTTCCCTTTCATACGCCGATTTTTATGTACCTTGTTCAACATTTCCGGTTTTAAAAATATGAGTCCAAACAATTGTGCACACAGTTGTGCACTGATTTTAGCCATCAGTTATCTCTTCTAACGTTTCAAGTCAACAGGACTCCTCGTCCTTAGGTTCATGGTGAAAAATGCGCATGAATCTAAAGGGCGGCTAGATTTAAAATTGGTGACATCATGTGCACTCGTCAGATGGGAATTGACCACCACGCGGTCACCTATAGTACGAGCGTACAGGACATGATGGGACAAACGTCCGGATGACATGAGCCAGTCATGGCAGAGCAATCACAATTAGCGCAGTAAGTCCAACATGTTGAGAGCAATGATCGTACTCCCTAAGACAGCGTCTAGCTACATTGCTGCAAAGTCGATATTGCTGCAACTCTCATATGATACTCTCCTCAATACGTAACATACACCAACTGGCCAAGACTCGTTTTCATACAGTGCGGGGCAAACGGAAGTGTTGCAAACCCGTTACTTTAACGAGGTGGATATTGAGGAGACATCATAGCCGCCTCAGATTGACAAACACCAAACAGACTGGTGATACAGGGAGAAACCTTCATAACAGTGTCACACGAAGAGATGGAGCTTCTCAGGTAGACAAAGACAAACATTAGTTGAAACCGTGCACCTTCAACGACGAGCAAGGGAACGAGTGAATGCTAATCCTGGAGCAGCACTTTAATATTCCAAGGAGCGAAGCATACACTGTACCCAGATGCCACAATCGCCAAACGGTTCATAGTGGCTTGTATACTTTGCCGGTCGGCATCAAGTATGGTGATATCATCAGCATCGATCACGGTCCTACCTAGAAGCCTCAAGCTATGGTGTTAATAACTTTTCAATGTTGTCAACAAAACCTCATGAATCGTAAAATCGACAAGTAACAGGGACTTGCAGTAGCCGTTTCATAAACACTTCGCCATTTAATCATGCGCGAAATGGGATGTGTAGAATCGAGAGACATACTCACCCTGTGAATGATGCAAAGAAGCAAAAGAATGAGACTAAGCAGGTAAGACGAGGTTGCTTTCCAACAAAAGAGAGAGAGAAGCTGACCAAAACTACGTCTGAAGTTTATCCTCAGGTAGTGAGAAAAAGTGATAGAGATCAGATTCCAGCGATATGTCTTCGGAAGTGCAGGGTCAAGACCGATAATGTGACAAGCAGAGTAAGAACCTAAAATTCAATGGTGAACTGAAGGAAGAAGAAACTGTTGCTCATAAATTCAGTTGCTGTGGCAAAGGTAACCGTCATCCAACATCACATAACTTGTCCGCAGCAAAAGCAGAATGTTTATGATCCAACAAAGAACCAGGAATTCGGAGGCAACCAGTGAGAGATGAATTACACTATCACGGTACCGTGGGGGAAAAGTCATCAAATGGCCGAAGTAAACGTACCTGACAATAGCCAACATCGACGTCACAAACAGAGTAGGCAGCCAGAATGCGAAACAAGGATTGTTGCCGAGAACCATATCGTGGGCGAAAATAGGTGGTGTTACGAAAGGTGCGGTTGATGTCTTTGTCTATTTGTTCCAGATATACTGAAGTGGCCAGGGCACAGGAGAGCATTTTCTGTTTGGGGGTAAACGACAATGTGAGTAAAGTTGAGCTGTTCCACTCCGCGGGAGAGGATAAAAGGGTGAGCACAAGTCAGCGACACAAAACAGGTTTATTTCAGTGTAGGAAGAAAAGTGCCCAGGACAACAAACGATGGGGAGAACAAAGGGAAAACGTAGGTGAAGAGGTGCCATAATGCGTGGGTTTTTACGATGGTGAACATTGACGTAGGGAATACCTCGACTAAGTGAACAAATGCAAGGAGACGGAAAAGTGGGTGATTCAGCTGCGAAAACTGGATGACAACGGCGTGTGCGAGTCAGTTAAAAATGATAGCAAGGAATGAACCCGTCAAAGGCTAAGCCACGTCACAGAGAACAAGAGAGGGAAGCACGTGACTGCTGTGCAGGTCCAGGTCACACTGTGTCAGCCAGAGCTGTGAAAACATAAAGCGCTATTGGAAGGAGTATATTTATTCACAGTCTGTTAACAGACATTGTGCCATCAGAACCATGGCAGAAGAAAAAGGTGAAGATGGGGACACTAATGCGATTAAAAAATATGGGAAACGAATTTTTTTGGTTTTACACACGCCATTTTGTATTTTTTGTTTTGTTTTGTGAGTTTTTGTGTGTATCAAAGGGATGGTGAAATTGCGGAACAACATTGCCGCCACTGATGTCTGTTGCGGGCCATGACGTCCAATGTTTCCAACCACTGCAATTCAGCATCTCGTGGTCCCCAACCTGGAAGGCGGACTGGTCCGACTGCTGCCAAACTTGAGGTCGCCTTCTTCATACTCCTTCTCCACGTCATCGGCTGTCCACCGCGGCACTTTTTCCAATCGCTCCCTGGGAGTGCAAATAGCGCTCGACGTGAAAGGCGATGGGCTGGCATGCGCAGAACATGCCCGAGCCAGCGCATGCGATGTCGGAGAATAACGTCTTGAAGACTGGCACTATTCGCCCCAAGCACGCGGTCTCTCACCTCTGCGTTGCTTACGTGGTGTTGCCACCACACCCTAGCAATCCTTCGTAGACAGCGATTATCAAAGACTGATAGCCGCTTCATATCTTCCGAGCGAATAGGCCAAGTCTCACAGCCGTACAAGAGTACTGCACGGACGGAAGCATCGCACACCCTGTCCTTGAGCTTGAGACTGACATCACGACGACGCCATAGATGTCTCAGTTTGATGAATGCAAAGCGGGCCTTTGCAATCCGTTGTGAGACTTCATCTCCAACACCGCCACCAGCCGTGATGCAACTCCCTAGGTAAGTGAAGCAAGGGACTTGCTCCAGCACATGTCCAGCAATGGTGAGCGCGGGTTCAGGCACCTGCCAATCCTGGAGCAGCGTTTTACATTTTCCCGGAGTGAAGCACAGGCCGTACTTAGACGCCTCCATCGCCAAGCGGTCCAGAGCGTTCTGGACGGATTGTGGGTCGTCCCCCAGCAAGGCGATATCATCGGCGTAGTCCAAGTCCGTGAGTCTGTCTCCAGGGAGAACCTCAACACCGCAGTCCTGGACACCTTCCAGTGCTCTTTGGAGAACATCTTCGATGGCGAAATTGAAGAGGAAAGGTGAAATAGGGCAACCCTGGTGAACACCGCTGGTCACAGCGAATGAAGAGGAGTGCGTGCCGTAAGCCCTAACTTTGCCCGACGTGTGACTGTAAAGTACTTTCAGGATGGTTACAAACTTGTCGGGCACACCTCTCTTCAGTAAACAGTTCCACAACGCAGATCTATCTACTGAATCAAATGCCGCTCGGATGTCCAAAAACACTACGATTGTTGGCCGCCGGTGGATGTGACGAAGTTCGAGAACTTGCCGAAGCGTGAAGATTTGGTCGATGCAGCCACGGCCTGGACGAAATCCAGCTTGTTCTTCTCGGGAAAACTCCTCTGTAGTCGTTGAAAGCCTGCCAAGTAGGACCGACACGAAGGTTTTGGATGCGACAGAGATTAGGGAGATTCCGCGGTAGTTGCAGCAATCGGCGCGGGAACCCTTCTTGTGAATCGGGACAATGACCGATTCTCCCCATGAGCTCGGAACCTTCTCTTCAGTCCAAACTTTCGTGAACAGCGATAGGATTTCGCTGATAATTACACTCCCACCATCTTTGAATAGAGCTGGTGGTAGATTGTCGGGACCCGAAGCTTTGTGGCGTTTCAAAGATTGGACTACATTTCGAATCTCTGCTTCATGTGGGGGGGCTGTGGAGACAGGCCAAGCATCATACATTGGGGCAGGAGGTGTCGCAGGGGACTGTGTTGGGTGGTTGAATTGAAGAGCGAAATGCTCTGACCAGCGACCCAATCGTTTGCGAAGGTTGGTGATCTTCGTGCCGTCTGCCTCGCAAATCGTCTGGCTGATAGCGTGGAAATTGCAACCAGCGGCCCTGATGATGTAAAACAGACGGCGGAAGTTGCCAGCTGATGCAGCGGCTTCCATCTCACCAGCTTGTTTTGACCACCAAGATTCACGATCAGAGCGAAGGCTTGCTTTCAGCTGTTGCGTAATAGACCGGCGGTGTTCGTTGTACTCTGCGCTAGCAGGCACCGCCCATCGACGATCCAGCAATTCTGATGATCTTCCCGAGATCCAGCATTTGGGAGTGGAGCGAGTGAGGCCACAGCTGGACAAACCGGCCGACAATAAGGAGTAGTCATCAACGAAAACCTACAGGGTTTAAGGAGAAACAAAACGTGCTGAAAGCTCTGAAGTTTAGATGTTGCGCGCAATATTTACTTGAGAATAAAGCATGTCGCAGGTGAACAGTTTCGAAAATCGATATGTGCGATAGTGGCCTAACGCAATATTCGTGGTCACGGGCCAATTCATTAAACTTGAGACGAAAGAAAATGAACCAAACAGCAGCTTAATGGAGTTTTAAGTCGCAATGCATGGATGATCTTCTACAAGGGACGGATAGTGAGTCTGATGTGTCAGCAGGCCGATGCTAACAAGTTTGGATGGTTGTTGCCCCCGACAGCGCATATTAGGATACGTCTAAATGACTCAAGGACGGTATGTGGCTTAGGGGACGATGACCCGAGCAAACAAATAAATAGACCTAAGGACCACTTGTCCGAAGGGTTTCCTGCGGCTTCGGTCTGTGCCCGTATACTTTGAACAGGTCAAACGCCGAATTGCGACGAGTTAAGTCACACTAACTCACGTCAACAGAACAGTAATAAATGAAGTAGATGAGAAGATCAGGTGCGCCAGTGAGAGGAACTGGGATACATTCAAAATGCTGATAGGAAGGATAAGGAGTCGGGTGCAAATACTATTGCTCTCAACTCGGAGACATGTTAGAGAGAGTTTCAAGTCGTTGAGGTGATCAATCCAGTGGAGTCGATGAAGCCCACACTCTAAAAGCAAGAGTAGCAGTATTATACTCTCACGCTGCTCCTTCAGCATTACCCGTTTTCGATAAAGAACGGCTACAAGTAAGTGCTGAGAAACGTGGTAATAAATCCTAGATCCAATCGAGCCATAAAACACACCAATTCGGCACACTCAACGTTGATAAACTACACGCACCTCCAATGATTTTTCGCAAATACGAAAAATACGCGTTCGAATCAGTATAACAAGCAGTCTCAACCGAGTCGTTTACTTTCCAGATGACTTCGATAGATAGGTTTTAACGAGCTCAATGCTCTGGTAAGGCAAAAATAGGCTCAAAGCTAGTGAATGGGTAATGACAGAGTGCGTATAACATTCATGGTTACGGTGAACCCCAGCAGCGATATGTATAACATTGGTTGGCGGCATCCGGTTTCGGATTTGTCTGTCACTGTGGCCTCCACGGGGACAGCCACAGGACGCCTGCGCCTACAGAGGGATCATGGGTGGCTCGCGTTGCACCACCCACAGCTTCATCCGCAAACCCCATACCCAGTGTAAACCCGAAGGAATAAGACCGGGAGGCATGCAGATGGGAGCCACGTTTCATCAATGGAGCCGGCCCACACTCATTCACAGGCAAAAACAAGCACGCTGTAGTTGGGGAATCAAACGCACACAAGGCAGTGTTTGGACCGTGATCCGCTCCACACTGAGTGCACGGAACCACTCTTCGAGCCTAACACGGCCACAAGGACCGTTCACCTCATCCCCTTCAGCAACGACCGTTAAATACACTTATGAGCATAGGCGTTTTTCCGCTGCTTTCGGTACGTTATGCACTGATTTCCCAGATGCCGACAAAGGAGTCTTTCTGCACGATTTCAGCTCTTCGAAAATGAGAGTTGCCTGATCAAAAAGTCATTATAAAGGTGCTTTGGAACATCCGAAATTGCTATCATAAGATCTATTTCCCATTCCACGTCTAAAAAATCGAATATCCGACTTTTCCGGAGGTCATCACCAGCAAGCTATTTTAAATGTGACTTCGGCATTTCGTGCGCATAACAACCACGGAATGAACATAGCTTATAGCATCGTTATCTAGAAGTTCTAGACTCACTTTCAGTCCGATCGATGCAACCGACATAATGGTGAAATTCTAAGGGAACACTCTGAACGCCACCTTCGACTGACCCATCTCCGGAAAATTGTTACGTAGAGTTAAAAGTATGCCTGTTAAGTAACTAAAGCAATCGTGCAAACGATCTTGGTAGAGCCGTTCGCATGCCATTTTGGGTCATAGTAGAGCGGATACAAACGTCTTCGGCCGAAGCAGGATCAGCCTCGACGACGAAAGTCCCTGTGTATCTGTCTAATAAGTGCGGCATTTGGGTCAATTCTCAAGACAACTACCTAGTATCCAGGTCACTGATCAAAGCATGAACAAGATAATGAAGTGAGTGTTGTTTACAAAGTTCCTCGATTTGGTATTACATGGAGAATTCAGTTAACATACGTTTCCGTGGATACAATACATTCCATAGTATGCTGGTACTGTGCAAACAGCACTAGTGAGTTGACAGATTTATGGATTACCAACTGGTTTGGTTTCGAACTCACGGCAATCTGTCGTGCAAGTGATTTTCGCGGGTCGT